GCTTAGGGGGCACTTTAGGACATAGGTCTATAGGAACTTTTTTTCCATTTTTTGGTTAAGGAATCTGCCTGAGAATTTTGGGACACATTTTAAAGGACACCCTGTATATGGATGGCACATTTTCTTTTTGTACGAAATATTTTTATCAATTATTTACCATTCATGGCCTGGAAAATGGGCACTATATACTTCTTTTATATTGTCTGTTACCAAATAAGACTGCTGACACATATATTAAACTTTTTCTGTTGCTTAAATCTAAAATTTTGGAAGTTTTTAATATAGTTTTTGAACCGATGGAGGCATTCGTAGATTTTGAAATATCAATACATATCGCACTAAGAAATGTTTTGTCAAAAACGAAAATAAATGGTTGTAGATTTCACTTACATCAAGCGTGGTACAGGAAAATTCAGTCTTTAGGGTTAAGTCAAATATATAAGGACAAAAACTCTGAAGAAAGTAAATGGCTTATTCACACTTTTGGGCTTACTTATTTAAAACCATCTGATGTTGAGGATTGTTTTATATTTGATTTAATGTCTTGCAAACCAAATAATGAACTGTTGGATAAATACGCAGACTATCTATTACAATATTATATAGCACCTGATTCCGATTTTCCACCAAATATATGGGCAGACGAAAATCCATCTATAAAACGAACCACAAACTCTTGTGAATCGTTCCATTCGAAATTGAATTCTTCATTTTATTCTTGCCACCCTTCAATATTTATTTTTATAGAAAAGTTAAAAGAATTCCAGATCGATTCATATTTAAAAATAAAAGTTTAAATATTACAGCAAAAATAAAAGACAAGCAAGTCAGAAATAAATTAAAATTTATTGAAAATGTGGTAAATATGCTTCGGTCTGGAAAAATTTCTAGATTTAATTTTGTTAAAACTGTATCATATCAAAGTTCATAAAAATGTAATGTATGTTTTTAGCTCTAGTTTTTAAGTAATAGTGTCTTTGATTTTGGTTTAATAAAGAATGTTATAGCAATTCTAGATCTTATTTTATTTTACCTGCTCCTTCCGGCCGAAAATACCTATACGATAAGAACGAACCCTTAAACCTTCGGCCGAAATTACATATCCCCTTTAGGTACCTGTCCTTTTTCCGGCCGAAATTACATCCGCCCAAAGACGCAAGTAGATGGTATCATACGGCAACGCCACGCTCAGAAAGTAAATACCGGTGTTAAATTACCTTTTTAAAAATTGATGAATATGAAATTATGAGAAACTTGAAAACATAGGGCTAATGAACAAGGGCGTAGATAAGGGGGGGGTAATGGGGGTAATTTCCTCCAGGGCCGGCCCCAGGGTAAGGTGATCCGGGCGGCTGCCCGGAGCGCAATGATATAGGGGTGTCAAAATCATGGAAAATGAAAATATACTGATAAAAAAAATTAAGTTACAGGCACTAAAAAGTAAAGAATATGTTTTTATCATTCTGATATCATATCAATAAATTATTTTTCATAATATTGCATTGTCATCGGACCCTTGTAAGTATACCAAATTTCATTGAAATCGGTTCACGGGAATTTTCTCAAAAACGCGTTGCAAAATTTGACTGATAGTTAACAAGATTAAGAGGCGGCAGGCGGAATTTATCATTTTTATTTCTAAGCACATAATTCAAATAATATATATTTAAACATTAAGGCAAAATCTAGTTGAATTCAATTCAACATGACAAAACCACTCAACCACCGCCTTTTAAGAATAGACAAGTTTTTCGGCCCGTGGCAACACGACTGTACAGGAAAAACAATTTTGAAACCAAGCGAAATAAGATCTAACAGCTCTTTTTAACTGCATTTAAAAAGGAAGTAGACTTAAAACAATGTATTTTTTGCCACTAGACTTCGGCTGGTGCGAAATAAAATTGTGTGTTAAAATTGTGTGGTATCAAATAAAAGTTGATTGAACCTGCAGTTGAATAAAATTTATTTTATTTTTTTAAGCCAGTGGCGCACGTGGGGATTTCAAAAATTAGAGTTTATATTTAAAAATGGCTTGTGTGGTATCAAATGAAAGGTAATTGAGTCTGGAGTTGAATGAAATACATTTTTTTAAGTCAGTGACGCATGAGGGGGGATTTCGAAAATTAGAGTTTATATTAAAAAATGGCTTGTGTGGTATCAAATGGAAGGTAATTGAGTCTGAAGTTGAATAAAATACATTTTTTTAAGCCAGTGGCGCACAAAGGGGGATTTCAGAAATTATAATTTAAATCAAATCATGTTTTTTTTTTTTGATATCAGTATTATCTTTTATTAAAATTAATTTGCTCCAGAAACCAAAATGTCCGATGCTAAGAGAAGACCCTCTGGGAGCGAATTTAAAAATCGGAGATTGAACAGGCAAACACAGCTTCAAAAACAGTCAGATGCGCTGCAGAACTTCTTGAAAGAAGGTAGTTTCAACGCTCCCACAACCGACCAACATTTGAACAACGCCTAGCACCTAGATACTGACTTTCCGTATATGGACTCCCCTTTGGACGCAACCGTCAGCATTACTGAGCTAGGTAAGTTTGGCGAGTAGTCATGCAGTTCCGTGCAGTTCCAAAAATCAAAATTCGCAAGTTGTGCAGACCTCAGAGAAACATTTAGAAAAGGCTACCGTCCAAAGTATCTCTTCTGCCCCAGGATTACGGCCCGAAATCATGCGTGCAGCAGATAGAGTTTTTTTGGTTAAACGTGGTCCAGCTGCACCTTTGTATAATTTTGATTTTCTTTTTGATGATCAGCATAGAAGATTCTCACCAAAAAATTACAAGAAAAAGCTTAGAAATGGAGAAGAGGTTTTAAGAGGATGTATGGTATATTCCGTATTTCAAAACGCTTTGTACTGTTTTCCATGTCGACTTTTTGCTGCACCATCTAGCTTGAGCGCTTTTGGCTATCGGGGATTTAAAGACTGGACGCATTTAGGGGACTCTTTAGCACATCATGAAAATGCTAAAACTCATATAGATTGTTTGAAATCATGGCTTGAATTGAAGCAAAGATTGAAAATAGGTAAAACAATTGATGTAGTTTAGTAGTATAGGTTATGTACATTCCAGCGCAACGCACCTTTTTTAAAAAACCAACCAAAATATCACGAAACGGAAAGAATATTACAACAATTTATTTACATTTCTTCAATATTTCTACAATTTTTCAATATTTCAAGATCGACGACTCGTAACATTTTACAGCACTTACTCATGGCCGACATTCAAGATTACTTAAAAAAGTATATTTTAACCAATTTTTAAATACAAAATTCAAAGGATTGAAGAGTCACGTTGATTAGTATAAAATAACTAAATGTATTAAGTACTAAATTTTCCCACATCTTCAACACTAGGATCACCTTGAAGGTTGCGGTAGTAATCTAATTCTTCCTTTAATTTATCTAATTCACTTATTTCACTTCGTTCATTTACACTTGAACTCGCCATAGTTGATGTCTGTTATTTAAATCTATAAATATCTATACACGACCACGTTTTATACAATCTAATGTTCTAGATTTATCTAACCTACGTCAGTTCAATCGAGTAAAATCTTTTTAAGTGCATTCTGTAACCGAGGTTACTTAATGTACTTTGGCTACAGAATGCACTCAGATAACCTTGAATTAATTTAGCACGGATGCACAATAATTAAAATGTAAAATAGATTTTAATGAATAATCAATAACAGTAGGAGAGGTATACGTTCACACAAGATAAAGATACGCTGTGTAACTAATTTACATTTGAGTTTCTTCAGACAATGAAGTTCGATAATAGGAAAGCAAACGTAATATATGTATATATATATATTTTTTGTGAAATGTAGGTATATAAAAACTAATTTTTAAGTTCTCTTAAAAAACTATCATCAACATATTGATACAATTCAACATTGTCTTTATCCAAATATTGTTTATGGGTTTTCATGAACTCTAAAGATAAATTTTGATACTTGCAAATATATTCCCAATCTAAGTTTTCCTTAAATTCATCAATAAAATTTTCACTCAAAACTTGATATTTAGAAACAACACTCCAGTTAACTCGATTTAAATAAGTTCTCATGAAATGTTCACTGAGCTTTTGATAACGACAAATTAAGTTCCAATTTACTTCCTGTTGAAAGAAAATTATAAACTCCTCAGTTATAACAGGAGATTTAGAGATCTCATCCCATACTTTTTGACAACTCATTTATAAAGAAAAAAATTTTTATAAACTACTTTAACTCTAAGATTACTGTAATATCAGCTCCATTAAAATCAATTAATTCATCGTTTTCATCACATATTCTGAGTTCTATTTTGTAAATATTATTATACTGAATTGGATAATATACAGGGATGGGTTCATAAATTATCAAATTGTTAAAATTAGAATTCAGTTTAAAACAAGAGAAAATGTCGGTTTCTCTATGAATAAACTTACCACCTTCTACTAACATTCCATTAGCCAAATTACAGTGAATATTGATTGTTTCAACAAGAATAAATTTATTCGAACTATTTAATAAATGTGATAAACTATCGGAGAATTCCATTATTTGATAATGATAATTAATTTCTATTTTATTCCCATTTTGAACCATATCAAATCCATATTTATTTAAATATGTTCTAAGTGATGTGTAATTATATTGTCCTTCTGGAATAGCTAAATAAGTTCCGTTATAATAAATTTTATTATTCCTATTTGTAACATTATTTATCAGATTCGTTGAATAGAAACCCAATAGACCAACTTTGAGACCATTTGTTGGAAAATGTGTCTCAAAATGATAAGTCAGTACAGACTTGTTACTTTTTAATTTTAGTATCATTTAATATAAAAATTTTATTTATAAATGGATGTTTATGGATATTCAGTTGGTTCGAACTCTAACACAGATCTTTCAAATATTAAGGCGGAAATAGATCAATTAAAACAACATGGTTTACCATTAACTGAAATAAATAATGTTAAAACTTAAATTAACAGTTTAAGTGATCAGATTAATATAGTAAAGAAAAAACAGAACCGAAGATTAAGTAAAAATCCAAATATTGTTTCTAAAAATCAAGAACTTGAAGACCTCAAACAAGAGATTGAAAAACTAAAACTAAAAGGAGCATCTCAAGATGACGTCAACAAAAAAATTGAAGAGCTCAAATTAAAAACAGAAGATTTGAATAAATTAAGCCGAGAATTAGAAGAAGCTATCATTGAAATAACTATTGATGATTTAAAAGAACTAACAAATCGAATAATTAATCTAGAAAACAATCAAACTACCTTTATTAATAAAATACGAAATTTAGAAAGACTTAATAAGAATAGTCTGAAAAAATTAACACAATTAGATATTGTTAAACTTAATAAACAAATTGAAGAACTTAAAAAATCCGGGGCCCCTACTAATCAAATAGATAAGAAAATTAAAGAATTGGAGCAATTAAACACATATTTAAAGAATATTATAACAGATATTACAGATAATGATTTAACAGAATTAGACGAACGAGTTGAACACATTGAGGTTAATATGAAAGCTGTCAAAAACAAATTAAGTGGACTTAACATAACACCAACATATATTTCTGTGAGGGGTAGAATTGTAAAAGCTCTTGATGCAGTAGACGATTATGATTTAGTAACGAAAAGACAACTAGCTGAATTAGAAAGAAGATTAAAAAATACAACAAATTAAATATAACTGTATCCATTAATTTCAGCTTGCTTTAAATATTTTTCTCTGGGAAAGAACTGAATATTCTCAATAAATTCTTTTTCTCTTAAATATATTTCTTGATTGTTTAATTTCTGAGCTTTATTAAGATCTAACATTTGTTTATAAAATTTATAACATTTATTCAGTTAATCTCTCATTTTGTCTAACAGATCGTTCAAATATCTCTGTTATACCAGAGAACAAAGAAATAAAACATAAAGGTAAATAAAAATAACCACTAACCCCAGATACACTAAAAAATAATTTTAAAACCAATAATAAAATACTAATTTGCGAGTAATAATTAAAACTTTTTCTATAAACATATAAACGTTTTTCCAAATATTCTTCCATTTAATTAACGAAGAATAATAATGAAACGCAATCTGTAATGAAAAATATTTTCAGTGTTAAATTATGTGAGGAAAAAAAAATTTACATCTCGTTTAGAAGTGTAAAAACGTGCGATGCATAGAAATATAGTAATACTTTTATAGAAAATTGTGACGTCAGTATTGATTCAAGTAGATTAATCTAGAAATTTAGTATATTTATGTGTTTTTTATTGATGGATATTTATATTATCTATAGTCCAGTCAATAATATATTTAAAAAAAATATTTTTAATAAATGAATAAATTTAAAATTACACCATTTAAAGAAAATGTACCGAATAAGTCAAATTTATTTCCAACACCTCTAAGATGTTTGATTATTGGTAAATCAGGTTCTGGTAAAACAACAATTTTATGGAATGTTATAACCAAGTATTGGATCCCTTATGAAAGTTTATTAATTTTTACCAAGTCAATTGATCAACCAATTTATCAAGAATTACAAGAGATATTTGTTGGAATAGATAAAATTGAATCACATTTCTACGATAATTGTGATGATATAATTAATGTAGATGAATGTAAACCAAATAGTCTAGTTATTTTTGACGACTGCATTTTAGAAAAACAACAAACAATTAAGGATTATTTTGTTAGATCTAGACCAAAAAATATTTCTTGTATTTATTTAACTCAGTGTTATAGCATAGTCGATTTACAAGTAATTAGAACAAATTCTAATTTTCTAATTATTTTCAAACAGTCTCAACATTACGTCAGAAAGATATGGGAAGATTTTATAACAGAAATGACACTTAAAGACTTTTATACATTTTGTAGACAAGGATGGGAACATGACTACGGTTTCGTTTGCATCGATTTGAAAAACAATAAATTTTACAACAAGTTTGAAAAAGTTTCACAATGAAATCAACACGTTACGTTCTACGTTACGTTATGTCGCGTTACGTTCTACGTTACGTTATGTTGCGTTACGTTCTACGTTACGTTATGTCGTGTTACGTTATCACGTTACGTTATGTCATGTTACGCTATGTCACGTTCTACGTTACGTTACGTTGTAGTCTATATCATGTTGTCTTATTAAATTTTCTGTTACTTAAATATATATATTTTTTTTTTATAATAAATGGAAACAGAAAATATTCAGAGACGTTTAATAAAGAAAATTGAGAAAGTAAAAAAAACCAGAGAAAAATTAAAAAGTGAATTAAAACATAATGATCAGAAGAAGCCAAATCATTCTGAAATCTTTCAAAATAAAGAAGATGTAATCAAAATTCCTGAAACTCCTAAAAGTATCACAGTTGAACAAGCTAAACAAGCACAAAATATACAAAAAGGTTTGAATAAAACATTTAAAAAAGAAATTCTGAATGATCGGAGTGGGTTAGAGGAGAAACAAAAACAATTCCTTCCTATTACTACTGCATTACAAAAAGTTGAACAAGCTGTTAATAATACAGATACTGATATAAAAAAAATAATTCCAAATATTCCAGCTTTAACTTTACCAGAAATTAAAGAATCTAAAGATATGGAGACTCAAACACATGCTGTTTCGTCAACTTTACCATAGAATTATTATTTTTTTTTGTTTATTTGTTTTTTGGGAATATGAAATGCAATGAATGGTTTATGCAGTTTTCTTTAATTTATATTCTAATAATGGCATAATGTCATGCCAATGTATTTACGTTACATTATATATTTAATTTTAATTCGTTATTATTTAGCCAATTCGGTCAAAGGGTCACTCTGTATGCCTTTAATTTTGTACTTATTGATCGCGAATTTAATCTTCTAAGTTTTTTTCCTTCTCGTCGAACAATACTCTGACCGCTACGAGTCAGTACCGATTCAATTGTCAGCACAATAATATTAAAAATTCAAACACGCGGTCCTCACGGACGTTCCAACGCACAAAAGAAAAACCAAATTAACGGGAGTGACGTGTTACCCGACTAATCATTCAAGGAACATTTCTGTTCCCGGCCGGGACTCATCAAGGAAAGGATTTTGGGAGTAGCAATCTTATTTTACAAGGTAAGACTTAGAAGTGAGCCGACAATCCATTTTTTCTCTCTCCTGAGCTGCTTTACATAAGCATTCACAGTACATCAATTTTGGTCCTCCGATTCGGATTGGCTAATTTACTTTTAAATCGTAAAAATAAGTTACATAGGAATTTTTGTTCATTGCATTTAATATTCTCAAATATCAATTTTTTGTGGTACCGGCAAAATTATAGCAAATAAAATTGGAATTACAAACCAACCAGCCCACCGAAGATTTTAGGTAGCAGCGTATCTATATACGCGCGCGCAACTAGAGATGAAACCTGAATTATCGTATTCTCTTTTACTCTCTATTCGAAATTACAACTGAACTTTCGTGGAACTTTCGCATAGGTAGGTGAACGAGTTTGGTTATTTTAATTGTGCTTTGTATCGGTATTCGCGGCGCTGGAATTTTAATTCGCAAGCACAATTTGTTATTTTCATTCTCTTTTGAATTTGCTTCGTCAAATTGTGGTTTTTTCGACGTATCGCTATTTTTATTTACGGCTTCGGATTCTAGTCAGCTGTTTCGCATTTTTATAAATATATTCATATTATTTCGCTCAATACCTATCGTTTGGTTTCTTTCTCTGTTTTACCTAGACGGAAAATATGTCTGAAGCTAAAATTAAAAAAGCTTCATCTTTAAGAAAAACTGAAATTCAGCGGTTAGATGATATTTTTGTAATTGCACAAAATTTAAATAATCCTGATTCAATTTCGCTTTTTAAAATTTGTTACCAGGATGTGGAACAAATTCGTTCAAACTTTTTCGCACAACATAACGTTATAATCGGTTTATTAGAAACGGATGAACAGTTTGATGTTGAAGATGGAGTTAGAAAAACTTTTGACAAAAAATATTATGAAATTAATTTGGTTTTTTCCAAAATCCCGCTACCTACTTCTGCGCAAACCCGAACAACTAGTGGTGATGATTCTCACGCAAATGTCGCTTTACCAAAAATTCAATTGCCAACATTTTCAGGTGACGATGATATCGTAAATTTTACTGCGTTTATCGATATGTTTGATGCAATTGTTGATAATAATTCAAAACTTAGTGATATTGAAAAACATAAATATCTGCGATCATCGCTTAAGGGTCAAGCGTTAGGGATAATTAAAAATATAACTTTATCGGCGACTAATTATAGTATTGCTCGCCAAACAATCTTGGATAGGTACAAGAATTCACGAGCTATTGCTGCAGCACATTGGTCCGCTATTGAAAATGCTCCGAAATTACAACCAGCTTCTAATTCTTTGGAGTTACGCAAGCTCTTAGATATTTTTACTGAGAATCTTGATGCTTTAAAAAATTTAAATTTACCTACTCAACATTGGGATTTTATTTTGGTACAAATGCTAATGAATCGCATTGACGAGACTATTGCAACTCGTTTCGAATTACAACACGCCCCGAACACAATGCCCACTTACCATTCTTTGGTTCAGTTTTTAATTAATCATTGTGAATCAATAAAAATGTTCAATTGACGCGGAAATGTAAATCGCAAAAAGTTTATGAGAAACGAAACACGCATTTTTCGGTTCGTTCAACCTCTTTGCTCACTTTCAACAATTCGGAAAGGCCGAATATTATCTGTCCTTTATGTAAATCAGAACATCTTCTTTATAGGTGTTCGGAGTTTTTAAAAAAGTCTCCCAAAGAGCGCTATAACATTGCAAAGCTTCACAAATTGTGCATAAATTGTTTGAGTAATGTTCATAGTTTAAAAAATTGTCAATCACGATCCACATGTCGCAAATGTGGTCAAAATCATCATACTGTCTTACATTTTGAGAATTCTTCGCCTGTCATGGAAGACAGAGGGCCATCTGCAAATACAAGTGCTCAACTTAATACCTCCTCATCCTCTTCCACAGTTCTTCTTGCCTCGTCAACTTGTAAAACTACAGTTTTACTTTCTACAGCGATGATAAATGTAGGGGATAGTCGGGGTTTATATCACCAATACCGGTGTGTCTTAGATTCTGGTAGTATGACATCGTTCATAACTCGCAAGGTTGCAAATCATTTAGGTTTAAAACCAACACCCTTCTATCTGGAACTTGAGGGTATCGATTCCATGGCTTCTAACGCTCCATATGGTAAAGTGACATTGTTAATTCGCCCTATTGAATCATCAACTCCAATTCTTGTTGTTGACGCTGCAATCTTATCCAAGATTTGTAATTATTTACCTTCATCGGTACGTGGAGCCATACTCGTCATTTGAAGATGGCAGATGCCAATTTTTCGAAACCAGGTCCTGTCGATATTTTGTTAGGGGCTGATATCTTCGCAAAGATACTTTTGGATGGTCGTATTTTAGGAACTGAGGGTCAACCTGACGTACTTAACACCATCTTTGGCTACGTTTTAATGGGACAAGTTCGTTCCACACCTGCCTCGATAATTCCAACCTCGCTTCTTTGTGCTACAAATAAGTTATCACGTTTAGAAAATGCTGTAAAGGTGTTTTGGGAATTAGAAACAATTCCTACAGCACACCACATTTCTTCTGACGAAAAAGTGTGTGAGGAAATCTTTTCTAAAACACATTCTCGAAATCACGACGGCAGATTCATCTTACATTTACCTTTAAAAAATATTGAATATAATTTTAGTGGATCAAGAGATCTTGCTCTTTCTCGTTTTCTTTCATTAGAAAGACGCTTGTTAAAACAACCTGATGTTTATCGCCCATATTGTGCCTTTATGCAGGAATATTTGGAGTTACATCATATGGAAGTTGCTTCACCACCCGAATCGAACCGCCCTGGTTTTTATTACATACCGCATCATTGTATTCTACGCCCTGAAAGTTCTACTACCAAACTCCGCGTAGTATTCAACGCCTCCGCAAAACTTCCCGGGCATACGTCTTTAAATGATCATCTTTTTATTGGACAAAAACTTCAACGCGATATAATCAACATTCTTCTGAACTTTCGACTTCATTTATTTGTTTTCACTGCTGACATCAAGATGATGTATCGTCAAATTTTAATTACGCCAGATCATCAAGATTTGCAGCGTATTTTGTGGCGCTTTTCTCCACATGAAGAAATTCAAGATTACAAATTAACAACTCTTACATATGGAACTGCGTGCGCGCCATTTTTGGCAATTCGTACAATACTTCAGTTAGCTGAGGATGATGGAAAGGATTATCCTTTAGCAGCACATGCTCTGCGTCATCACACTTTTGTCGATGATGTGGTCACAGGCGCTTCAAGTGCTGAGGAAGCTCTTGAGTTGCAACGGCAACTGATACAATTGCTTCACCGTGGTCAGTTTGTGTTACGCAAGTGGTCGAGCAATGCTCAATCATTATTAGATCACTTACCTTCTGAAACACTGCTCAACAATCCTCATTCGTTCGATCAGGACTGTGATAGTGGTCACAAGGTTTTGGGACTTCAATGGAATCCCAACATTGACATATTTCATTTTCGAGTCAACCCTGTTAGCCCTCAATGCACGAAACGAAATCTGTTGTCAAATCTTGCCAGAATCTTTGATCCCCTGGGATTTTTATCACCTGTGACTTTTCTTATAAAAACCCTAATCCAACATATTTGGACTCTTAAAATTGGATGGGACGAGATTCCGTCTGGAGAAATATGTCGGGTGTGGAATCGGATACATACTACTCTTCCCGTTCTTTCTGACATTCAAGTTCCTCGTTTACTAAAACCTCGTCAATTTAATTCATGCGAACTTCATTGTTTTGGCGATGCCAGTGAAAAGGGCTATAGCGCAGTCGCATATTTTCGTTTCACTTCTGCTTTAGGTGAGACATTTTCTTATTTTGTAATTTCAAAGTCCAAGGTCGCA